AAAAGCGGAGGACAGACAGTATACAGAACATAGCACTGAGTGGGAGATGGACAGGATGAAATACTGAACTGGTGGGTTAAGGTTGGGACAATCAGGAAAATCAAAGATTTGAGGGAAGATTAATGGCAGGCAGCTAAAGCCCATAATCTCAGGGAATCAGGGATATTAAGAAAATCTCACAGGCAAAGAGAAGGGAAAAAACAAGGTCCCAGAGAAAGGTGCAAGGGAGATGGACTAGAGATAGGTGGATACCCTTCCCAAAATGTTTCAACAACAGGTGAACCAGAGACGAAGAGAAATGATAGAGGAGGTGGAATTAGCCATTGATGAAAAAAAAAAAAGAAGATCTAAATCCCTGAAAAAAAAGTCATAAGGGAAACAGAGAAGAGCTACCAACATAAGGTAAAGGGAGGTACTAAGGAAGAATAGTAAAAAAAGTCATAAAAATGGGAAAAGTGAGCTCTAGAAAGGGAATCCAACCTCCAAACTGGCAAAGGTGACTCTGAAAACTGGAAGTCAGGAATAAGAAATGCAAAGAGAGAACAAAAGAGACAGTAGGCAGGGAGTATGAGGCATAAAACCAAAGGACAGAAGGTGAGCCCAAAAAGGAGTGGTATGTACCTATATAACAAGTGAATGAAGATATATAAAGAAATCACAAGGAAAAGCTTATGTACAAGCAAATGGGAAGAGTCAAAAGACAATGGATTAAGAGATATAATTGTATATATCTGAGAAATAAGGTGAAGAAAGAAATCAGAGGAAGTCTGAGAGTGTCATTCATTAGGTAGAGTAGTTCACAATGCAAACCTGGAGGTGGACATTGGTGCTTAAATTTGTCCTCATCAGTTCCTGGCATGAAAATGGGTAAGGGATGAGAGTAGAGGAGCCCAGCTACATAATGGAAACCAACACATAATGGAAAATGGTAATGTCTTCAACAGGAAAAGATCTTCCAGCAGAAATGTTGTTCATTTGTTCTGTGTGCAATTCTTCACTCACATCAGTTTTGGAGATATTCACATTAAATTGTGAATTCATGCTGAGTTTAACAAACTCAATCAAGTAAAAATTGAAATTTTAAAAATTATAAAAAATGCACATCTCAGCAAATGCAAAAACACATGGGAATTCATGAGCATAATTGTAGAGGGAGCCACTGTATATGAAGGTGTTAAACTCCTATTAGTGGAGGGTTTTACTGCACAAAGACATCATCACACAGTAGCACAAGTTCATGTTCTTTTTAAGTGAGATTAGGTGAGAGTTCTCACAAAGCTGATAACTTGTAAATATCTTGGGCAAAACACATGAACTCAAGAGGAAAGAAGCTATCTGTGTGAAGAGGTGAAGTATCGTAGCATAGCATTACTGGAAAGAACAGAGGATATGGTCCCTGGAATCCAGCTTTGCATTTGGCCATCATGGTACAAACAATGGCATTGTTATCAATGTTGTTAATAAAAATAAACAGAAAAGAACCTAACCCAAAATCTTGAGGTATATTACACCACCTGTAAATGTAATATACTGTGAAGTCACTTCTTAATAGCATCCTCTACTACAAAACTTTCAGTTCATTTAATTATCTCCTGCCCCAACCGAGGCAATCTTTCTAAAAAGTGTTGTACATGGCACCTTATCAATATCCTTCTGATAGTCCAAGTACACCAAATCCCTTGCATTATTCATACCTCAGTCAAACATTACGTTTCCAAGGTTAGTAAATTTGTAAAACATCACCTTCCATTTCTAAATCTGTGCTCACAAAGAAAGAATTGCTCTTATAATAGAGAAGTCAGATTATGAAGTTTGCCTTCAAATGTGGTAGAAGCTACAACAGTGAAGGAAATTAAAACAGTGGTAGAAATATTTAGGAGATCAGGTATGGATAGAAGAAAAAGGTTTATTTATGTAGTTTGGGGAAGGGTATTGGTATAAAATGGGATAGCCTGGATGGGTCAAAGGGCTCCATGTTATCTCTTACAAATGAAATGAGGTAAGAAGCTTGTTTGCTTCAGATTTTTGCATAAGGGATATTTACATAGTACAGCTGGGCAATTAACTTGATTAATCGATTAACTATGAATATTAACAAGTCTCATAAAATAATTGACTAATTGAAATTACAATTAAATGGATTATTGCTATGAAAAAAAATCAACTAATTGAAATTAGTTTCAAATTGTTCCAATTAACTAGTAATTTAAATATTGTCATAATAATTTTTCATTATTATTTGATTAAAATTAGGGTTTTTGTTATTCCAGTTGTCTAAGTAATCAAAATACTGCCATTATGTTTATTGTTAAGTGCAAAGCTATATAATGGGGTATCCATACTCTACCCACAACAATTTTTAGCTATCTAGTAAAAATAATAGTTATTTCTTTTGAGCCGCCTCACGTAAGAATAACCTATTACTCAGCTTTACACACCAACTCTTATTTGACTCTATAGTGAGATTTGACTATCACTCTTATGGTACACACACATGGCCCCAAAATGTGGAGCACATTTTTGTGACAATGACACACAAACCATAAACCTTCAGCACTGAAATATGTCTATAAAAAGAGTAACTGACCAGAAAAAGCTTTCATGTAATGTCTAAAGACAAGTTTTATACCAACATACTGTAATTGAAAAACTACCATTTTGAAATCTACACTTTTATCTAAACTTCTGACCAATCAAAACTACTTGAGTACATATTTTTTAATACTAACTTTTCTATAAAAGATGAATTTCTTAATCCATCTGGCTATCTTGTCCATTCAACTCACTTACTGCATTTCATCCTTACAAATCCCCCAGTATTTCTTACAGCCAGCCACGGAAGGAGAAAATTACAAACAAGTAATTCCTAATTACTGAAATATAACTAAATTGCCAGTAATTACTTAACTCCCACCCCTAAAATAAATGTGGCACTGAATAATTAATCTCTTTATTTTCCAGCATCTCACTATTATTAAGTTAATGGTCTATGAGTGTAATCTTTTGTTTCCTTTATTACCCTAGAACAACACTTCCCAATTTTCTTTTATATGTAACCCTAATTTTGAGAAAAAAGTTTATGCAATTCCAGACACCACAAAAACAACATAGCAACCAACACCTTCACAGGGTAATTGATTTTCAGAGCTTGTTAATCCAGAACAAAAGTAGGCCTAATTGTAATCATTTTCTCATGACCCCCATCAGCTTACACCATTACACACAGTTTAGAAACTGTTGCACTAGAATAAATATTATCTTGTACAGGTGCCTTATATTTCTAATTCTCTCAATCTTGAATTTTATCAGCTTCAGCTGCACCTTAACTCCATTCAAGGATATCCTATAATATTCTGGAAAGTGAACTATCTACTTTACATTTTCTCTAGTAAAAGCAGTTAAGTATTTAGTCACCTCATTTAATCATCAACAAAAACCCTACTATCTTCATTTTTAAAATCTAACTCCCATTTTGTCATTCCACTTCCCTTTAAAATACTATAAGTATTAACATTTTCTGCAACTCTTCCTCATATACCTTTCTCAAGTTTCTAATAAATTGATAGGTACTTTTCCATTATACCCCCACAATTTTAATAAGTTTAAAAAAATATATATATATATATAAATATACACTTTATTCATATAATAAATGTCCATAATAAATTTCTAAAAATATATTAATAAGCATTGTATCCATACTAAAACTTTACCATTTGCAGGGGCATAACAGAAAAGTACCAGTGATATCAGTTTTTACTGGTTCTTTGGTAACTTTAGATCATAAACCTCTAAACCTGAAAACCTACTAGTAGCTGTCTGTTTGATTTTTCTAAATTTGTAATGCTTTTCCTTAACTTTCCAATTAATTTTCTTTGGAATTAAGACTGCTTTCTTACTCATCTGAACAAACTTTATAGTTGTAGTAACTTATTCCTAAAGGTTTCCACTTCACATAAGTATCCCAGTTTAATCAACAGCCTGCCAACCCTCAGTACAGCACTCGGTTGGTGTACAAGAGGTCTCAAGTTTGATTCAGAGCTGTGATTAATACTAGAGCTAAACTAGCACTCAACAAGCAGTTTTCTTACAACCCTGAGTTAAGACTCAAGGACAGACCCCGCTTGTTGTAAGAAGAATGTGGTAGTTTCAGTTGTTAAAAAGTGCCTTACTACTAATACAAGCAACTGCCAGAGCTCTTTAGCAGAGTTGGCAGTGCACTTGCTTGTGTGAAGATCTCAAGTTTGATACTGAGACAAGGAAATAAAAAAGGAATTAACAAAAGTAACATTTGGAACTAATAGTAATAGAGTACTAAACAAAAACTCTGATCTTATCAATACCATAAGGCCTTGAACCTTATAATATTAGTTTATATTTTAATATAGCAAATATTGTCTCCCAAATTTCCCTCACTGCACAATTTTCTGAGAGATCTCAATGGTTAATATAATATTTAAGTTTATTGTTATCAAAATAGCATTATCAATACCACTACTTGGGTAAACCGACTCAACCTGTATCATGATTGAAATTTTTATCTTAATTAAATGCAAGGGGCACTTGGAAGTTGGATTCAAATTTCATTAATAAATTAGTGCTACTTAAGCTCAAGACTTACAATTTAGAAGTTATACATACATGATCAGAAAAATACACTACTACTTACTACTACATTACTACTACGAATACTATATTACTACTAACGTTAGTACTACCACCGTACCAGTACTGCACCTATGAATATCAACTGTTGTCATTGGTACAGTTATTTGGGTTAATAAAGATACCCTTTTGTTGTTAATGTTAAATTATTATATCGTTAGTACTTACACTTACAATACAAGTTACAGTTACAAGCTGAGTTAAAACTTAGAAATAGAAGTTAGAAACAAGCTAATAATAACATAGAATAACTTTTTCTTCTTGCTATAAAGCTCAAATTAACTAATTCATAGTGTAAAATAATAGAAAATAATTTTCATATGTAAAATACTTACATTCTTAGATCACGTAAAAATTTGGAAACCAAATTAATACTTTATTAAGGCTTAATTTGTAACACCAAATTATATAATAAGCCGCGCCGCGAAATTTACATAGTTCAAAAGTCCAGCGTACTCGTAAGCAAGTAATGACAAGCGCATGCGTATAAACTGCCATCTACATTGTTGTATCTCAAACTCATTCTAAATAAACATCACTCCGTTGTGCCTGATCAGGTGTGTTGACTTGTTGTTTGAATTATGTAAAAAAGTGAGATTCACTGAAAAGGTGAATCGTCTTCACTAACTAAATCACTTGGTATGGGGATAAGTTAGCAAATTATTGGATAGAAAAGTGGCTGGATGGGAGAAAGCAGATGGTTGTTACTACTAATACCAGGAACTGCTAGGGCTCTTTAGCAGAGTTGGAAGTGCACTTGCTTGTGTGAAAATCTCAAGTTTGAAATTGAGACAAGGAAATAAAAAAGGAATTAACTAAATTTAATCAAATTTGCAGATGATATTAAGGTCTTGGGTGTTGCTAGCTGTGAAGAGGATGCTGCTGATTTACAAAAGGATTTAGATCATTCAGTGAGTTGGGCAAATGAATGGCAGATGGGTTTTAATTATAATAAATCCAAGATAATGCATGTGGGTTATCATAATTTGAATTATAAGTATAATTGAGATGGGTATAACCTTAACAGTGTTATGAAAGAAAGGGATCTTGGTGTAATAGTTATCAGTCTCTAAAGCCATCCAAGCAGTGTGCTGTTGCTAGTGGTAGGGCAAATAGTATTTAGTTTGTATCTACAGAAATATTAAATACAATTCTAAAGAGGTTATAATTTCATTATACAGGTCACTGGTTAGGTCACATTTGGAATACTTTGTTCAGTCTTGTGCTCCTTACCTTAGGAATGACATTGAATTGTTGGAAATGGTGCAGAGAAGGGTTACTATAATGGTGTCTGGGATGGAGAGGTTGTAATACCAGGAGAAGTTGAAATCTCTCAAATTGTTTTTTCTTGGAAAAAGAAGAGTGAGGTGGGATCTCATTGAGGTGTTTAAGATTATAAAGGGAATTGATAGTGTTGATGCAACATCTTTTTACATATTTAACAGTGAGAATAGTAGGACTAGTGGACACAAATATAAATTTTGGCAAGGTTGGAGTCATCTTCAGCTAAAACAGTTTAAATTTTCTAACAGGGTGGTAGGCCTTTGGATGGGTCGCCTTCGGATGTTGTAGAGGCAGTAAATTTAACTGAGTTTAAGAAAAAGCTTGATAAGTATATGAATGATAACGGCTGACTTTAAGATTTTTTAAAAATTATTTTAATTTAATTTAGAGGATGGAACAATAGGTCCCATGTTGTCCCAAAATATTATGTTTGTTATGTTAGTTTTGAGCGTAATACGGCAGAAAGCTAGTAGAAATGGCGACAGTAATGTGAACATTATGAAGAAGCTGTTGGTTTGATTTCAAAATTTGTTCACTTCTGCTTCACGTGTCTAGAAAGGAGGCACAGAAGATATTTATCATGTGTATATTCATTTCAACTGACAAAGATAAACTTAATAAGTTTCTATAAAAAGCTGGACAATGTTGAATATTGAAATGCAATATCACATGAACAATGCGTTTTTCATAAAAGAGACCTATCTAGTGGGAGAATGAATAATTTGTTACCTATTTGACAGAGTTAAAATTACTGACTAGGAGATCATTGACTTTATTTATCATAATTGTATGATTTAATGTCATTATTTATTCGTGTGATTACTTCAAAATGTACATGCAATTTCAGCATGTAGCTGATCATATTTAGAACTTGTGATGGTTCCTATGAGTTCTATGTCATGTCATTCAGTTTATGTAATGCACTCATAACATTTCAGAGGCTAATGGAGCTTACTCAGAGAGGACTACAATGGGAGAAATATGTAATCTACGTCATTGATGTCTTGGTATTGGGTTGCACATTCTGTTTGCTGCTGAGAATCTGAACATAATGATTCAGTGAATAAGAAAGACATGGTTGAACTTGAAACCATATGCATGTGTAGATGAAATCTTTAGCCACATTGTGGGTGAGATGGAGTGTCCATGGATCCTGTTAAGATTGCAGCAGTGCAAGTGTCGCCTCAGCTTATGACCATGAAAAAGATATGCAGTTTCCTTGAGTTTGTGTCATATTACCGACATTTCATGATCAAATTTTCCTAAATTACTGCATTTGTATTTGTTCTCACTAAAACTGGTTCACATTTTATTTGGACTGAAGAAAAAGCATTTCAGTTTCTAAAAGGTGCTTCAATGAAGATCCGGTGTTGGTATAATGACAACAAAATTGTCAATTCCTGTCGATACTAATATCAGCAACAGTACAATTGGACAATGATTTTCATAATTGCAGGATGGAATAGAATTTGTCATTGCATGTGCTAGATGTACGTTGATGACTCATGAATGCAGTTACTGTATGATGAAGAAATGCTTTTTGCAGTTGAAGTGAACATTAAATATTCCACCACTATTTGTGTTGTAGAATTTTCACTATTTAGATGGACCAGTTACAGAAGTGGCTAATGTACTTAAAACTCTGGTAGGGATAATTGCATGTTGTATCACAACACATTACAGGCGTATGACTTTGTTGTATTGCATTATCTAGGCTTACTACATGATAATACCTTGTTTGTTTGTTGAATTTCCCAACTCTGGACACCATGTGGAATGAACGCCATTTTTTCCATAGCAAAGTTAAAGCATGTGGTGGGACATTCCACTAGTGGTTGGATACCACAATTAACACTTCAGAAGGTCTGGGAAGAGCAACTGAACGACTCATAACTAGTATGGGTGCTCCATGCCATGTAGCAAGGTGATGCACATCCACCACACATTTAGGAACATAGTGAGGTGCATGTAACCTCTGGCATTGGTATGAGCAATCATGAATGAGGAGCCTGGGTTCTACCATTGTGTCAGACACCGAGACATGGTTCTAAATTTGACTGCAGCTCGTGATTTCCAAAGTTTTTAGGCAGCAAATTATTCAGACATTGCATAATGTTACCACGGCATTACACACACATGTGGTAATGTGCATTGGTATTATGTGCTGGTTGTTACTGATTACTCCACAAAATGAGTCGAGGTGTGTCCATTGGCTGATACTTCAGCACAGTTGTCGTTCATTGATGTGTTAACCCTCTCGCTGCATATAGGTTAAAGTGTGCTTGTTGTTACAACCTTTTACAAAGTTACACTCATAATTTAATTAAACTGCTTTATTATCAACGTATACAAATAAACTTGACATCACAACATAGCGAATAAATCAAGTTTTAATATTATTATAGTAATTTTAAGTTCTTAATTTTATATGGAAATGTATAAATCAGTCCTCAGTCTCCCCTACTATGAAAATTCTGAAATTTGTTCTTTAGGTCTTCCCAATTCTCTAATTTATTTACTACTCCTCTCTAAAATACAGATTTTAATGTAAATTACTTATTATAATTAAGATATTACTAACGCAAAGTGTTATTTTTATAGCTTTTAATTTTATTTGTTTACAGAACCATAAACTATAACGTCAGACCCACTTGCCAGGCCCAACTGTCATATCTTCTCTTTCTCAAATTGCCAATACTTACACATACCATATGTAAAACGTTTTTGTGATGTTTTACATTAAATAAAAAAATAAAACACTTAACATGCCTGCATACCATACCTTTACTCTTCCCTTTACCTTCCCGACCTTCCCTAGCTCTAAAAGTCAAAACCAATGGAAATAACTCATGTATTTATCAAGAAAAAGATGTAACTTGTTATCTCCTGTAAAATACTTACATTGTAATAAATATAAGTAAAACAAAAAATACCACTTTAGAATGAAATTGAAATAAAAATCCAAAATTACATTTAAAACAAATTTAATATAATGACTAAAGAGATATGTTAAACATTAAGTAACCCTCTGGACAAAATACTGTTACGCCTCCGTTCGTTAGTTAATTTTCCGTATAATTTCTTTCCCAAGAAACTTTAGCGATACAAGTCCTTTCTTAAATAAAACTGGTTTATTCTTTCTAAATACAACTTTGCAATACACTTAATTTCCACAGTCACGCTATTACAAACGCTATAATTCACAACGAACGTCTCACGTGCTCGACTCAACAATACGTCTCTCTGTCCGCAGTTCAATTACACATTACCTTGTTGCCGTCATTTCTAACCGGTTTATATATACAAGACTACCGCATATCTAGTAGGCTCTCGAGATTTCAGGAAGGGACGTGAACGTTCGAGAAGCGCATGACGTGTTACTAGGGTCACGTGACCTCCGCTGTCGTAACAATACGAAAGAGAATAAAGTTTTCAATAAAGAAAATATAATTAAATCAGAAATATAGAAACTGAACCATTTGACATTAAACAGAAAAACAACCTTTAAAAACTAAATTCCAAAGACAAAAACTAACAAATAAAACATCCTTGCCAATTGAACCTGTTTCTCCAGCTATGAATGAGGATCCCTATGCTTCAAGAAACATGGTGCTAATTTAGCAGTGTAAGACTAAAGGGAAGGCAGCTAGTAATCACCACCCACCGCCAACGAATAGTGGGATTAACCGTAACATTATAACGCCCCCACGGATGAAAGGGCGAGCAAATTGCAAGTCGAGCGCCCTAACCTGGCCATGTCGGGCCTAGATCTGTGTTTCGATATTAGCTGTGAAAGATATTTTGATTGGAAATTATCTGTAGAAAGTGAAGTTCACATACAGTAGCTTGTGTCATACCAAATGCAGATTTGGTGCATCCAGTATTTTATTTAGTTACGATCGAAAATTTTCAATCACGCAGATCAAAATATTTTGTAAGTAAGCAGTTTTACTGAATGTTTTATAACAATATTTCAATACAAGATGCAGTTGAAATGCATGAAAATGCAGACTGAGAGTACATGCAGAGGTATCAAGAAACACCCATGTGGTGCTACTTTGTAGTCACCTTTACCCTTTGCAAAAACTTGTATCTGAAATGAGTCTGATAGGAAGTGAGGTGTCGATTTTAATGGATTCCCATGGCTAGAAGTTAAATGTTGGTG